ATCCCAGATAATAGCTTCATAATGGCCCATAGAAATCTCAACTTTTTCGAAATTTTTCTTTTTTTCCCAATACCACTGCTCAGAAAATAGTCGAAATTGTTGAAATGTTCAAAAAGTGGAGTTTGCCGAATAAAATTGGATTTTTGAATGCGGCATTTATTTTGCAGTTCACGGTTGAGCGCTCACTTAAGTGAGTTTGAGGAGTGTACTAATCCTTAGACCCATAAAATCTAACCCTCCTTCATTCTTTCTGAACTGACCTACAATATATCCAAGGCTGAGGTTTTCAGCGGCAGCGGCGCCAGTTTTTAGTTATTTTTCGCCGGCGTCGGCGGCGCGGGGCGTGGCGTCGTAATGTTAAAGGAATAGGGACTCAAAGTATTTATTTGGCGGCGGCGCGTAAAATGCTACCGGCGTTCGGTGGCGTGGCGGCGTCGACCTCTAATCCAAGTAGCATTACGATCTGGCATTGCAAAGGTGCGACATTTTCCTGCTAACAATGCGATGGTGTCAAGTGTCACATTCGGGTTTGATTGAAATTTTAAAATTAAGTGGTCCAAGTTCAACGCTTCTGGAGTAAGTTTGTGCAATGGTCAGAATTTGTCAAAATTTTTGAGAAATCAAAGTTTCAATCAATCAAATCAAATTTTTGAATCAAATCAAATTTTTGAGAAGTCAAATTTGAAAAATGTGCAATTTTTACCACGTGAAACGAATCGGAGTGGGGTTTGCTTCCTCCACTTGGTAAGAGTCGCCAATTTTTCTCACTTCGACCATTTTGACCATTGCACAAACTGCCTCAAGAAGCGTTGGTTGTATTGACTTGGACCACATAATTTCATAATTTCAACCTAATCGGAGGGTTACACTTCACACCATCGAATTTAAAGCTTAAAAAGTCGACATGCTTCTCACGTTTAGTGTATGCTACCTTGCATGGCAAATGAAATGGGACTGGTAACTAAAGATAGGCTGATCCACAAAGCAGTGAAGAAGTTATTAAAGAACCAATTTAGAAGTCTGGATACTGCCAATATCAAAAGGTGGAAGGGAGGGATCTTAACATGTTTTGGAGAATGTAATACCTACTAAATTTAAAGAAATGTGCATGAACATCTTAATTCAATTATATTTGATTTTGTTTTTGCAGATAGGTTATCCGAAGAAAAATTCCCGACCTTGTATAACGACTGCTATGAACAAACGGAAGCCCTCTTAAAACTGTCAACGTGCATACTAGCCAAACGCGTAAGCGAAACATTAAAAATAAGCTCAATGTTGTAATAAATGCCTACACTCTAAATAAAAATTTGTCGAATCACCACCGCCAGTGTCAATATATGACTTAACCGCCTTGGTTACAACGTTGAATCCAAGTTATGATGATTTTGATACCGGTCGTTATAATGTTATAACCGGACAGAAAAAATTCATTACTACTCGGAATCACAATTGTAACCAAGGCGGTTAGGTCATATATTGACACCGTTTTGTTTTGAGTGTAGGGCATTTATGTCCTCGGCAAATGCCCGGCATTTATGTTCATGCCCAGCTTCCAACCCTAGGGACAAAGTCTCCTGAAACTCGCCAAATATCGATGCAACCTGAGCAGTGAAATGTCTAAAATTCATTTGGTCCCATCACTTTTAGATATGCTCTACTAAATCTAAGTAAACATAACTTGAAACATTCACAGAATTGTACCGGTGGCATCGGGAATGAACTGATACCGGAGAAACCTAGAAAAAAACGTGAGCTGACTTTTCTGAAGGGGTTCGGTGCGGGAACTCTAATTGGTATTGCAGCAGGTCTTTCCATATCAGCAATTAAAAACTCACAGGAATGTGGCAACTATGGATGCCACAAGGGATTATGTTACGCTTACTGCGGATTGTCCAACCAAGGTGGAGATTGGTGTTACACTACCAAGACATATTCTCAAAGCTTTGCATATGTGAAATGTAATTCTACCAAGGATTGCAACGGTTGTTGGAAATGCGCCGGGAGTTGTACATTGTGAAGAAATTTGGTTGATAATGTTGTATTAATAAATTTATCTATGAAGCAAATAAAATAATACTTCTATTTTCAAGTGTGGACAGCCAAGTCTTCCATTAGACAATATCACATTTTTGCGAAATTTAAAATTTAATATATGTACAACTACAAACCCTGCTTTTTCTGACGAGATAAACTTTTATAGTGCCCTCCCAGCATATCCCCTGTATACATTAGATGCAGTTTTTAATACTCGTCCGATGTTGTGACAAAATTTCCGTTGCAAAATGACATTTGGTCAAGTGGTGACGATTTTAGTGACGCGCCGAACGGTCACTTTTGCCACGCTGTTATGGTTCATCTAAAATTAATGCGTCATTTTTTTTCTAAAAGGTTATGTGGCATATGTTGTAAAACTTGGAATCTCGAACTTTAGCAATTTTTGGCCGATTTTAAAATTTCGAAATGTTTTGGATACCTTGTGCCTTTGTGAAAATACATAATTTCGAATTTTTAAAATTTGACCCCGTTGACCTGTAATCAGGGTCATAAGGTCATAAAACGACAATATATGCTTGTATTTTAAAATATGTTACGGCGAATTTTGGACCAGTTTCGAAATTAGATATTGTAGCTGATAACGCTGGGAACTGCAAAATATGACCGTGCGGTCAAGGAAAAAATTGTGGGCGTGACTGGGGGTGTGGTAACAATTAGATTTAAATTAGAATTAAAAGTTTAAACCTCTTGGCGTCTAGGCGTCCTCTTGGCAGATAAAATTCTTCAACCCACACCCACAGGGGGTGTGGTCATCAGCGCTTTTGCCGTTAGTCAAGTAAACTACATAGTGTGGCACAAATAATTTATCGGCATCGAGTGAGGATCCCGATGGTCACTTCCAATCACAAGAAGGCACACCCCCTAGTGGGTGCAGCTTTTTAGCGTTTTGGGTACTATCCTCACAAAGTATGTCATGCGACACATATAAATTACCGGTTTATAATGGAGACCTCTGTTATCACCATAGGGCGGATATGTATGTACTTAAATTCCGTAAAATATGTATGTAATATGTGCTTAAAAAACTCGAAAATATGTACATAAAAAATATTTTTCAATTGCAATCTTCTGCCGTGTAATTTTCCAGACCCTTCACATTTTTAAAACTCTTATCAAACCCGAAGCCACACCCACTTTGGGGTGTAGTCAATGTTAACTGTAATTGGAAGTGTTAACAGCAGTCTCCATTATAAGCCTGTAATTTATATGTCTCGCATGACATACTTTGTGAGGTTAGTACCCAAAGCGCTAAAAAGCCACACCCGCTTCGGCGTGTGGTCAATGTTAACTGTAATTGGAAGTGATAACAGTGGTCTCCATTAAAAGCCGGTAATTTATATGTGTCGCATGACATACTTTGTGAGGATAGTACCCAAAACGCTAAAAAGCCACACCCACTAGGGGGTGTGCCTTCTTGTGATTGGAAGTGACCATCGGGATCCTCACTCGATGCCGATAAATTATTTGTGCCACACTATGTAGTTTACTTGACTAACGGCAAAATCGCTGATGACCACACCCCCTGTGGGTGTGGGTTGAAGAATTTTATCTGCCAATGTTGCCATCGTCGACGCATGTGACTCTAGTAGTACATTGACATTTTCTAGACGCCAAGAGGTTTAAACTTTTAATTCTAATTTAAATCTAATTGTTACCACACCCCCAGTCACGCCCACAATTTTTTCCGTGACCGCACGGTCATATTTTGCAGTTCCCAGCGTTATCAGCTACAATATGTAATTTTGAAACTGGTCCAAAATTCGCCGTAACATATTTTTAAATACAAGCATATATTGTCGTTTTATGACCTTATGCCCCTGATTACAGGTCAACGGGGTCAAATTTTAAAAATTCGAAATTATATATTTTTCACAAAGGCCCAAGGTATCCAAAACATTTTGAATTTTTAAAATCGGTTAAGAATTGCGATAGTTAGTTAATTTCAAATTTCCAATGTATTTAAGCATTAGATCCGCCAACTCGTTTCAGCAAAATTGAATAGAAAAATGACGCATTAATTTTAGATGAACCATAGTAGCCCTTTCAACCTTTTGCTAACCTAACGAACCACGCTCATCTCACTGAAATCTCGACTCATTTTCTCACCGATGAGGAGATTGACACCTAATCTAACTAGGTATATTTACAATATCATTACAATTTATTTAGTATTTACAAGTTTTTAATATTGTTATTTTTGTATCCCTTTAAGAGGTAAAATATTTTCCCAAGTTAAATTTTTCGTGCATACTGTGATAAACTAAAACTCCCTAAAAATAGCCACAATATTTATGAACAAGAATTAGCAACATAAGATTTCAAAGCCATACATCATAAACAAAAACATGCAATAGGATGTCGTAGTGAAGAAAAATTAAGGTTTCTAGTGTCCCACAATAATACATATATTGGATCACTCGATGTAGTCAAAGGTACGGAATCATCCGAATCATTATTATGCATATGTACATATCAATCACATATCCCTAAAGCAGCAGAGAAGCCCTGTTATCAACCTTTTGTTTTGCGCGTGTCACACTTTGTACTTTGAAAGCGATAAGAGACTCGCATTATGTTTGCGATATGCGGAAGAATTTATTTCGCAGTCCTCTTATACAAATTTGCATAACAGATGAACTTGTAAATTACATACTTAGTTATATAATTGGTTACAAATATACCATTCAATTAAATCGAGAATATGTAAAATGATAACTCCCTTCTGCCCAAAACTGGTAAAATGATTGACGAAAATCGAATTGGAATTTCATCCCGACACAATTATGTAACTTATTTACAATTATTATCGACGTGTGCATGTTACTCTTATCTTGACGAAACCTCGAGTTATGTACCAGATACATATGTCGAAAGATTAGACATTCTCCGGCATAAAAATCGAGAACCTTATGCAAATTAATACAGTAGTTTTTACACACAAACGAAGTATCAAGCCTGATCATGAAGACGGCTCCAACCATGAAAATTTTTGACTCCACCTTTATCTTATTTGTTGTACAATTTTTAGTTTGCGTACAAGAAATAAATTCACAAACTACGGGAATGACGTGCGAATCCATCTTGTTACCAGAGGTAATTATTTAATATGTAATGCATGGTTAACCCTTTCACTTGTAGCTAAGGCAATTGTCGCTTTGTAAAAAATGGTTTACTTCGGGAATAAGACAATTTTCGTTTCTGGAAGGTCATTTATTTTCACCATTTTCTCGCCTTCCCGTAGAATCGGTTGGAATTTAAGGGATTTCTCACATGCCAACCAAACATTAAATTTGAACATTTCTTACCTAAAATTAGGACATTTTCCAATCTAGCGCAATGTTAAATTGTTGATGTCTAAGTTTTATCCTAGTTTTCTTAAAACCCGAAAATCCCCCTCTTTCACACCAAGACCACAACATCCTTGTAACGGTCTCGAATTAATGCATTTTCTTGTAGTCAATGATTCTCGTTAAAAGGTTAAGGCTAATTTGAGTTTTTAATTTACACAGTATGATGGATGCCCACCGTGGGAGGACGTGCCAACTTATTTTCCGTACCCGTACGATTGCAGGAAGTTCATAGAATGTGGGAACGGCGATGCGATTGTGCAATGTTGCCCGCCCGGGACGATTTGGGATCAGGATTTACTCGTCTGTAATCACGAAGCAGTCACTCCCTGCGTCATTGTTACCACGGTGGCAACGTCAACGTCCAAGTATGTTGTGGGGATTAAATTGCATGGTTATTTTCTTAACCAAGGGTTCGAATGGGTTGGTGTATGAGTAGCCTACGCTTATTTACCTCCTCAACTTTTACACCCCAGATTCTGACTCAATATTTAAAAGCCGACGTGAATTTGTGTTTTCATTTAAAAATATTGATCAACAATATGTTTAGCGCTCCTATCTCAACCTCAACTACTCCAACTACCACCTCAACAACTACACCAACTACCACCCTAACAACTACACCAACTACCACCCCAACAACTACACCAATTACCACCCCAACAACTACACCAACTACCACCCCAACTACACCAACTACCACTCCAACAACTACACCAACTACCACTCCAACCACCACTCCTACAACAACCTCAACTACCACTCCTACAACTACACCAACTACCACACCAACCACCACGCCAACTACCACACCAACCACCACGCCAACTACCACGCCAACTACCACACCAACCACCACACCGACCACCACGCCAACTACCACACCAACCACCACGCCAACTACCACTCCAACAACTACACCAACCACCACCCCAACTACCACACCAACCACCACTCCAACAACTACACCAACTACCACTCCAACAACTACACCAACTACCACCCCAACTACCACACCAACCACCACTCCAACAACTACACCAACTACCACACCAACCACCACGCCAACTACCACTCCAACTACCACCCCAACAACTACACCAACTACCACACCCACAACTACACCAACCACAACTCCAACAACAACGCCAACTACCACGCCTACAACCACCCCAACTACCACACCCACAACTACACCTACCACCACACCAACTACCACTCCAACTACCACACTAACTACCACTCCAACAACTACACCAACGACCACACCAACAACGAGTGAAGGGACAACTACGCCTTCCCCTATTGAAGAAGGTTCATCTTACTTGATTATTAATACTGAAGCGAACATGGTAAGAACATTTTTTCTCGGAACGTACAATTTCCCCCACAAAACCCGATCCCTTTCCCTTTCCCAGCAGATACATATAACTAATAATATTTCTTCCTGCATTTAGGCGTTGGACGTTTACAATGCAAATCTGACGGATGGAAACCAAATCCACATATTTAACATAACCAGCGACTGTTCCAACTTGGCACAAGTATGGAGGCTGGAATTAAGAAGTAAATATGCCTCCCTGTATTTTATTCAATTTCGCAGATATGCAAAGTTTTTTTTACTTATTTTTACCTCGTAGCGTCCGGCTCCACGACAACTTACATAATTCGAACCGCGTTGGATGGTGTAACCACTCAATGGCAACATTGGATGCATAGCAACCGAACAACGCCGTACATTATGGTGAGTAACAATAATTTACAAGTGGTTTGGCCCGAATTTGTGGGCATTAAATTACCACGAAAAAATTTGCAAAGCCCATCCAAAATTACTAAAGCTTACATAAATAAATCGTTAAGTCAATCACAAAATTCAGCTAATCCAGTCAAAAATGCAAACGCTAAATGGCAATGTTTATATTGATACCTGCAATTTATATAAAAATCATACATATATTTACAAGAACAATACTATTTCTACTAAACAAATTTCCAAATATTGGTGTGATTAATAATTTCATTTTTTCTATAAAGTTGTACATATTTCACATTTACTATTCACTCCACAAAATCCCCTAGTTTTCATATTATGAGAATTGTCGTAAATTATGTTTGTAAATGTGGCTAATTTATTTATTGGGCGTGCGATTACGTAACTATTTGCAAAAGAATAAACTACGCATAAAATGATTTTCAGTGGTTGTGGACTTGGTGATATTTATTTCTCTCGAGAGAGGATGAAACTCATGTGTGAAAAAGTGGTGGACATTTGTGTCCCAATAAAGAGGCAGCTTGAGACGCAGTATTTGGTGGTCTGACTACATATACGTTTATTCCCTCCTTCCACTTTGCTGTCCAAAAACCCAATAATCTACTTTACAATGTCAACCTTTTCATATCGTTTTCTCTCTCCCCCACTACTTAAGGATCTATGTACATACGTGTATCTTACAATCTAACATAATGCTGCCTTTGCACTCTCTCACGCTTCTGCATGGGTCAAGAGTCAAGCATAATAAATTTTAATGGTTGGCTGGAACTTTGTTGCTGGCTGGTCGAAACTGGACACTTTTCACCAGATCTTGGTCTCTGGTTGAGATGAGATGCTGACAATATTTAGGTGAAGCTTATGAAAATCCCAAAATGGATAAAAATACTGACAAATGCAGTATGTAAGCACATATGTACCTGCGTTCATTTTAAACTTTAGCATATGCAAATCCCTAATTTCAACAGAAACCTGCTGCATTTGGAGTGATACATATATTTTTACAAATAACAATTGGTTTCCCACTTGAATTACCAGAAGATTGTTTAAAAATTTTCTTCACAGGCTGACCCCCCACTGGATGATGCTCACTGGTATGTGCAGAGGGTACCCGGCACTGCTATTTATTGGAATATCCACAGCCGTTTCCATGCAAATGGCCAAAGTAGTCTTCACAATACCGGGTAAACTTGCATATTTACAAATGTTTGTTAACAATAATCCCATTTTTCTTTTTATGTAATTCCAGTGCTCCCACTGACAATGGGGGAATGAGGCTAAACTTGGTGCATTTAGTACCAACGGACCCTGCGCAAATTTGGGAGTTTACCAAGTGCCAGGGTGGCTTATTTATATAAGATGAAGAACACGAGAATCTATCATGCAGTTTAGAGCATTATTCTAAAAGGTGTTGATTTAATTTGTCCCCATGATAAATATTAGGCCTCAGACCGCATTTAAGCATAATATTGAAACACGTTAACATTTTTTTGAAATTTTACTACTCCTTGATATAAAAGTCCAAGCTTGTGAGCTACAAGCTTTAAAATATTTATAGAAAATCCGGACGAACTAAGTCGACACCTTTTAGACATTAAATTCGGCTTCTACTTCAAATCGTCGATTATTATTTTCGACAAACTTTATATTATATATCTATAATGGTCCTTAACCAGCTCTTGAACGTTTTAAATCCAAATAAAGATCATACCAAATAATGTTCAACCAAATTCATTCAGAAAAGTCTTCATTCATTTTTAGTATTTCATTCTTTATTAATTAATTTTTAAGGAATTGGAACAAAAGTAATAATCATTAATGAATTACTTCTTGGTTAAATTTTTAAACGCATAAACGCATTTTTAAACGCATAATTTTTTTCAATTTCTGCTGTGAATGAAAGCCCAATGAATAATTTTAAATTAAACGTATTTATATGTATGCTTGGAACAGTGTACATACATAGATTAAAGTAACAAAAACGTGAGAAGCAAGTCCAAAGCAATCTTAAAAATTAAAATTGATGTCGATCTATCGAAAAAGGCATCAAGTCCTAACTCAACTTTCAAAGGCGAACATGACACAGCGTATTTCATTTCCCTCTTCGATCTCTTCCTTAATCCTCGTCTTGTTGCGCTGATAAAGTCCACAGATCTGGTGTATGGATAGGACACAATTTTGAAGAGAACTTGAATGAGTACGAAAGAATCGAAGGCTACGACCGAAAAGAGTGCCAACACAGCCAGAGGGATCTCCCCGCTGGGTGAGAGGATGAATAGAATTATGTACTATTCATTAAGACGGTGCCACCGAGAAGAAACGGCACTGCGGGGTCCTTCCACGAATTTTTGTGTAACCGAGAGAGCAATTGGAGTTTTCTGTATTGAACGAGTAACATCTCCTGGAAGCATTTTCCTGATTCCAGCTCTGAAAATAGGTTCAATTAAAATGTGCGCTTTTCCACCAAACATTATTGCCAGTTGAACACAAATAAAACACATGACAGAACCCTACTAGAGCGCAGTCGTACATATATTTATGTACCATGAGAACCCCGCCAGGGTGTCATGATATTAATTGGCTTGGGGAGTTTTTAATTAGCAGGCGGCACGTTTTCTGAATACGGTTAAATACGTAAATAGACAAGCATACCCTTTTAATCCATCTAACAAGGGAACCTTAAGTACTGTCACCTCTCGATTTCCTTCCAAATAGCCTTAATCGACAGATAATTTAGTGAAACTTAAACTTTGTCATAGAACATGCGGTGCAAAATCGCGTTTTCGCGAAATATTTGGCGAGAGCTGCACCACAACCGGCATTTTCCCAATGCTTTTAACATAGCCACCAGCCTTTCGAATGATGAAATGAACTTCATATAATCTTATTAAATTATATTTGTACCTGTCCGCGTAATTTCAGCCCGATCACCAATATGCATAAAACAATGCAAAGATTCGCAAATTTTTTACAAATTGCGAAAATCTGAAAACTTGCAAATTTGAATTTCTTCGTTTCTTTAAATTCAAGAAACTTTAACAGTTTAACTGTTAGAAAATATATTTTTCTTATTGCAAAAAATTTGCAAAAATTTGCAAAAACTGAACTTCGCAATTTTTCATGAAAATAACTTAAATAACCAAGGCTAGCCTATTTTTACGTATTTTTCGAAATTATTTGCGGTATTTCTTTTGGTAAGTTGCAAAAACTTACAATGTGTGCAATTTTTTAATTCAATATTATTATGTAGAATTTGTTTGCAATGTTTGCATGTTTAATTGTTTAACAAATTATCTTTCCCTTTATTCGCTCATATCTGCATATATGACAATTTTTAAGTTTCTCTAAAATGCGAAATTTAAAAAATGTAAACTTTAATTGTTACAAATTTTTGCAAATTTTTTGCAATAAGAAAAATATATTTTATAACAGTTAAACTGATAAGTTTGTTGAATTTAAAGAAAGAAAGAAATTTAAATTTGCGAAAGTTTTCAGATTTTCGCAATTTGCAAAAAATTTGCCAATCTTTGCATTGTTTTATGCATATTTGTGATCGGGCTGAAATTACGCGGACAGGTACAAATATAATTTAATAAGATTATATGAAGTTCATTTCATCATTCGAAAGGCTGGTGGCTATGTTAAAACCATTGGGCAAATGGCAGGTTTTGGTTCAGCTCTCGCCAAATATTTGGCGAAAACGCGATTTTGCACCGCATGTTCTATGACAAAGATTTAGTTTCACTAAATTATCTGTCGATTAAAGCCATTCCGAAGGAAATCGAGAGGTGACAGTACTTAAGGTTCCCTTGTAAGAGTAGAAGTTGTACTCCAACGGGATAGAGGAACAGTACAAAGAGCCCAAAGACGGGTATACTGAAAAAAAGAAGCCCGGTGTAGGCGGCGACTAGGCCTTGCACCGATCTTATCAACAAATTCCCCGTTGTGTGATTCCAATCCTTGCATGGTAATGTTGCCATGGTGAAGAACGCAGGGGGCATGCAAGGTTTGATGAAACTGGTGATCAAAAGAGTGACGGGTGCAGCTGTTATCGTTATAACGGCGAGGAGCCCGATCCCAATAAAATAAGGCGGAACAAAACCATGGAAACCTATGTTTAAAGGACGAAATATTTACGAATTTAATTATTGGATGTGAGCCTTGTTAAATAAAGATACTACTGAATGGACTTTTTGTATTTGCACTAAAACTCGAAATTCAATCCGGAGAAGTTAAAGAACAAGTCAAAACTGAAATAATAATGTATAAATAATTATATATAGATACAAAGTTTGGCCAACCTTTTTCCCTGTGTTTAATTTCCGAATCGTTCGAACAATTCAAAACCCACACGACTTCGCTCGGCACACGGAGAAGGTGCAGGAGACCAAAGCAATTAGCTATCAGTAAGACGAGGAAGAACGTCATGAGGATTTTTTTCCAATTTTCTGTAACAACGCCTTCACTCGAACTTGAATTCTGAATTTGGAACCAAATCAATATCAAGACCAGTTGAAGAAAGAGAGACCCGATGGCACAGGTGATTTGAAAGACTGCCCATTTTGATTTGTTAAGACGGAGATATTTTTATCATGAATGATAAAAGGCATTGCGTGAACGCAAAGGGTGCCCTTCACAACGACATGGGTAACGGCCGTGTATGACGAAACTTTCAGTCGAATAGATTGCCTGACGGAACCAATTGAATTCTGTGGGTGAAATGTGACTTTCTTGCGCAGGGAAGCTAGATTTGAAAACATTCCAATAATTGGATAGCATACGTTTGATATTTGTTGGATAACTTGAAAGAATTTGCGTGATCGTAAGCGTTTACTTATCTCCATTTGCGCTAACGTAACCAACTATCACGCTGGGTGGACGTTGTGTTTTTAATAATTGTTAAACGGCACGGAAAAACTGCCATCTCGTTTTTCCCACACACAAATATATTCTACGGGTCCTTCCTGTCTTCAGACTGACATTCTAGGCCACACGTAGCCCGATTCATTAACAAAACTAATCAAAAGTTTACTGTGTCTGAATTATTTAAGAGACGTTATACAAACAGATAAACTACGTCAGATATAAAACTATAAATGCATGCATTTGAAGTCGTTATACGCCTGGTTCCGCTCCGTGTCTACATAAATGGTATGGTGCACCATATCGTTTTTTACTATCCAGTTCGAATTAAGCTAATCCTATCTTTTCAAAACCAGGAATAAGATCAAATTGGAACGTTTTTTATGATAATCCCGGAAACAAATTGGTATATTTTTGAAAATCTAAAACCCTGTACCTACGTTTTTTTGAAAAAACGTAGGTACAGGGAAAAAAAGTTTTTTTCTAATTTAAACGATCGTTCGGATAAAATTTTATTATGTCTTAGATCACCGATTTTTCACTAACTTTCTTGAAGCGAGGAGTTAAATTAGAAAAAAAGTTCCGGGTTTTTATGAAGTTCTTGCAGTAGGCAGACACAAAATACTGTATTATTTACATCGGGGTACCCCAATCGATGAACAGAACCAATTAAGATCTTTTGCTTTATTAGGAATGAAGTTACCGGTCACGAATATGTAGTTCTGCATGTTTAATTCCAACATACTGCGCAATATATTAGTCGTCTTACAAGAAAATATATCCGTCCAAAGCAAGCTATTCATGCCTACATTGGAATTTGTTTACAATTCAGAATTGCAAATGATTACTCCTCTAAATAATTGGGAATTTCGAAGTCTTCCCTCGATTTCGCAAATATTTTCTGAATTGCGTGTACTCAATATAAATCATCTATTGAAAGAGTAGTGCTAGATCCGAGGCAAGGGTGTTACCATTGCCGTGAACATTCCCAAGTTGGTAATATGTGGGGCAATTAAGTAAAACAATTTCCTTGGCTCCAAATTTTCAAAAACTTGATAAGCAACTTATCTTAGGATAAACAACTTATCCTTAGTGGCCGCCAAGTCTAGCAAGACATTGTTGCGTTGTATTATTTAGAGTATGTTTGAAAAGATATAAATAGTGTTTACATATTCACAATTAGGTGGACACACTCATAAGAAATTGGTATTCAATCATTACCACATATTTATCAAGAGCACAGATATTACTCCCCTGCGTCATAATCAAGAGTTTTCGTGTTTAGTAATGTTACACCTATGTATAAAAAATTTGGCACTCAAGTGCCAGTCAGGTACACTCTCAATAATTTAGAAGCAAAATTATTACCCTTTTTACTACCCTGACTAGGTAACAACCTCTGTCTCTCATTAGGTAATAAATTTGTCACCAAAATTGTCAACATTGGAAGTGATAAACAATATATCCTATCCGGAAATAATTTATTTCTTCCAGGAAATAATTTCGTGTCCAAAATCATTTCCTATAGGTGACAATTTGTCTCCTTAAAGCCCAGCGCAAACTTTAGTCACTAAAGTTCAGCGGCAGTTAAGTTTCACTCACCAACGTTTCTCTCGCACCTGGCAGAATAACGGAAATTGTTCGAGTTTTGCATTTTACTAGAGGAAAAAATTAGTAATTAGAGGTTGAAGTTATGGATTACTCTACATTTCAGGTAAATAATTTAAATTCATAGTTCATATTATGCTGTAATTTTATTGTTTTTTGTCCTATATGTAAGCATTTACACTAAATCAAGTTTTCTCTAGATCCGGATGCGCAAATTTCATTCAAAGATGAATTTGGCGCAGATTGAGATGAAGATATT